TGCGTGTGGCCTGGCTGGAAGCTTCCAGTAGCTTCCGGTTGGATCCCAAACCCTACGCCCAGGCCCGAGACTACATTTGAGGGCCTGGGCCCTTTGCAGTTAGGCACGGCCTGAGTCTCCGGACTTGGGCTGTTTGCTACATCTATGCAGGGCTCCCAGGCAGGTGCGTTGACACTACTGCTTTTGCAAAGGCCGAAGGCCTGCTTCCTAAGGTATCGGCCCTGCTTTGTGTATGTGTGCCCAGGCGCAACTGTCAAGGCCTGGGCCAACTGTATGACGCAGCAATGTGAGGCTCACCCATCTTCCCAACGAACTGGCGTGCTGCGAGAGCCTGAATACCCATGGAAATGTCGAATTTTGCCTTTGACGAATATTTAGGCCCGCCTTCACTTAGGGCGGGCACTTGGCTTGCTGGGGGGCTTAGCCCAGAACAATGTGATGTTTGATAGGGCCCCTTGAGGGCTTGTTCCTGACATTCCATCCCCCTTAGCTTCGAAAGTCCGCTGAGATGCTTCATGTTGTTGCCTTCCCCTTCAGTTTCTTCTCATAATCTGCCACGATCTGAGGAGTTGTCTTGACAAGTTCGTCCCTTGAAATCCATCGATCTTCCTTCGGATCTGTATGATGCTTGAAATATACTCTGTATTCCCTCGCAGGTTTGGGAGGTCTTCCCCTGCTAGGTGGCTTGGGAACAGGCGTGTCTCCGTGATCCAGGATGTCGTCGACGTCCCCGTGGCCATCCATCGTTGGGGGCAGCATAGATCTCCGTGATGGGAACTATGCTGTCTCGGCGAAAAGTGCAAGCTTGGAGGCGTGAAAAACAGGGTAAGTGCGTAAGTGATCAGGGATAGGAATGACGTACGAGGGACCATCCAAATCATTGCCCACAATGTGTAGGACTTCCCAAGGACTGAAATACTGAGGCATTAGTTTCCTAGAGATGCCAAACTTTTTTCCCAACTCACTAACCTTGACCCAGACACGTTCCCCTACCTGAAATGTGGACTGTCGGCGACGCTTGTTCTCAGAAGCAATCATGGCTTCCTGAGATTTCTTGATGTGTTCGACAGTCTGCTGCAACTGTTTCTCATACTGGACACCAAATTCGATGGTTCCAGGAGTTGTGGCAGTTTGGTTTTCAGGCAGGAGGAAGTCTAGAGCAGATCTAGGCTTCCACCCCAAATGTTGATTAGGACTGACGTCGGTGGTGTTGTGTACAACGTTGTTGTACAGGCTGGCGATGAGAGGTAATTTCTCATCCCAGTCATCCTGGTTGGGCTTGATGTAATGCCTCAGCAGATGCTGCACCACTCGGTTCATCTGTTCAGCCTGCCCATTTGCTTCGGGATTGATTCCCAGAAGTCATATGAAGTTGGCTGCCCATCTGTTCAGCGGCCTTCTTCCACATCTCGCTTGTGAAACGTACATCTCTGTCACCGACGATTGTTTTTGGAAGTCCAAAGTCACGCACCCAGTTGTCCATGAACAACTTGATGACGTGCTCAGTTCTGACAGTCTTTGGCATGACGATTAGTCTAGCGTACTTAGTGAACCTATCCACTATGACGAAGTTGTGCCTCTTGCCATTCTTGCTGGTCACGAGAGTATCCATGAAGTCCATGGAGATACTCTGTCCTGGGCCAGCAGGAATGGGTAGAGGCTTGAGTAACCCAAGTGGAGCTCGAGTCCACGGTTTGTCCCGCTGACAGACCTGACAGGTCTGTACGTACTTCTTTGCATCGTCCAACATGTTAGGCCACCAAAATCGTTGTTCTAAGTTAGCACTAGTCTTCTTATAGTCGAAATGTCCCGTTGCGGCATGGCATTCTCCTAAGAATAAATTACGCAAATCTTCCTTAGATGGAACAACTAATCTCTTAAACCCTGCCTTCTCAAGAAAGAGCAACCCATCCACCATCACAAACTCATCAGTGGTGGCCTTGTCCTTAACCCGAAGTTTGTTGATGATGTCCATTGTGATGGGATCTTCCCTGTAGGCTTCCTCCATAGATCGAGTCACGTCCTCAGATAGGCCAAACTCATAAATCAGCGCACCCAGGTAATCTGCCCTTCTAGACAACGCATCTGTGACCTTGGTGTACTCTCCCTTCAGATAATCTAGTTTGAAGTCATATTGGTCTATGACTTCAATCCACCGTTTGAAAGCGTCAGAGAGAACTGGTTGTGTCTTGATCCACTTGAGGGTCTGATTGTCAGTTCTCAAGTAGAAGAACCTTCCTAACAGATAATGCCTCCAGTGGACAAGTGTCTTGTAAAGAGCGTAAAGTTCCCTCTCGTAGGTGGAATTTGGCAACTTTTTCGATGGCATCTTTTTGCTCATGTATTCGACCGGTCTCAACTTTTTCCCTTCCTGCTGAGCCAACACTGCGCCAATGCCATATTGGCCTGCGTTAGTGGTTACAACGAATGGCCTTTGGGGGTCGGGTACCATGAGAACCTCATGATGTTAGAGAGCATGCTTCAAGCGCTTGAAAGATGACTCACACTCGTCGGTCCAGTCCCATGGTAAGTCAAGTTGAGTTAGATCAGTCAAGGGAGATGCGATCGTACTACAATTCTTTACGAAATTGCGGTAATAACCACACATCCCCAAGAATGATCTGACCTTAGTCACAGACTGGGGTCGTGGTCAGTCACGTATGCTACCCGCCTTGGCATCTTCGGTCCTAATACCATCCGCGGATACTTCATGACCCAAGTACAAGATTCGAGTGTGACTGAACTCGCATTTCTCCGCGTTTATCTTATACTTGTGTTGCCGAAGGAATGAAAGTACTTTGTCTACATGCTGAGCATGCTCCTCGACAGTTCTACTAAAGATAAGTATATCGTCGAGGTACACGACAACGAACTTATCTAAGTAGTCATGAACGATCCTATTCATGGCGTGCTGGAATGTACCCGGCGTATTGCAAAGGTCAAAGGGCATCACTACAAACTCGTACAGAAATGCGATTTTGTGTTGGTCCTCTGATCTTATGGCAATCTGATGGTAGTCGGATTTTAAGTCTATCTTTGTATAGTACTTACATCCCTGCACCATATCCAATAGGTCGTTGATGCGTGGTAGAGGCTCTCCATTCTTAACGGTGATGGCATTGAGGCCTCTATAATCAATGCACATCCTTAGTGTTCTCCTTTCTTTGGAACAAACAGGACTGGTGAGCCAAAGGGGGAAGTGCTAGGCCAAATCCAACTCTTTTCTGTGAGCTCTTTCAGTTGTCGACAAAGCTCGTCCAACTCGGTCGGAGCCATCCTATAGATTCTCCCTTTAGGTGTCTTGCTACCTGGGATGATCTCTATGACATGGACAACCTCCCTGTCTACGACTCCTGAGGGCCCCTTGAACAGATCAGGGTACTTAGCGACGATGGTCTCTATCTCTGGGGGTGTTTTAACGGCCTCCCCTTTTGGAGAGACATAGACTAAGTACATTCTTTCCTCTTGGTTCTGTTTATAATAATTACAGAAAGATGATGTACATAAGCACCCATAGGAGTCTATTAACCTACTGGTTTTATACTTAGCCAGTGAAACGGCTTTCGCACTAGGCAACTCGTGCTCCAACACCTTCTTATCCCAGTCAAACTGGGGTTTGGCAACCTCGAGGTAGTACATGCCCAACAACATGTCAAAGGGCAACTCGTCACTCACCAGGAATGATATCTTATGGTTTCTCTCTACTCCTGGGTAGGAGAAAGTGCAGACTACATCTTTAACGTAGTCTTCCACCATCATGCAGTCTTTGTTGGCCAAAGTAAATGCTATCGGTCTACTAAGGCGCTGCACCCGGTCCTTTAGGCACAATCTGTCAACGCAGTCGCAACTTATGAAGTTTTGCGTGGAGCCAATGTCTACGAAGGCGCTGCACTTGCTACCACCCACACCAACTTCCACAACGAAATGCTCCTCTCTAGGACCTCTACTCAGTGCCACCCAGGACTTACGAGGGTCCCTTGCCGACCACTCACCTTGAAGGTCCTCTAAGGCTTAAGACACATCCAACGTACAGAGTATAGTTGGGTCCGGATAAGTCTGCGGGGTGACTAAGGAGTCAATAGCTTCAGCCAACTCTTGAAACGGGGAGGATATATCACTCGCGTCAACGAAAGTAGAAGCAGCTACAACTTCTACTAGCCCTAAGTGTTTCCCAAGCTGGAGCTCGTAGAGGCCCCAGACTTAGAAGAAGGAAACCCACCCTTAGGAGGGTCTTGCATTTAAATTGCGTATGGCCGTACTCGCCACAATTTATGCAAGCACGTTGTGACTAACGGTCCCGCCACACTTCCTGATCCAAGCCTGCTCTAACCCAAACAGCTATCTTGTTTGGGTTAGCGGCCTGCCCCTGACTTCTTTGCTGATCGCCCTTGTCGCGGCCTGCTGCCTTAGTCTTAACTATTGCGGCGAGGTTGCTACCCTCAACACTCTCCTCGCCGTCTAACTCTGCATCCTCCACAAGTTCAGAAACATCATCGATTTCAGTTTGATTCCCTTCGGAATCAACCATCATCAATCGACTACCCTTCTTCTTCCTCCCGTCCGTAGAAGGGGTTTGAGCACTACCGAGCGTAGCCTCTAAATCTAAGGTCTTTTTACTGAATGTCTCAAAGGTGTGATACTCTAAGCGAGCCTCGCTGGCCAGTAAGTTCCTGATGTCTGTGGGAAGACATCTCAAGAACATGGTCAATAAGGCCTGTGGATTGTACTTCACTCCCGGGACCACGATCAGACGTTTTACGGTTGTGGTAAGTTCTCGCACCGACTGGTACTTTCTAGCATCAAGCTTTAGAAGCCCATCAGTGGCAATTTATGGTTGCTGAGGGTTATGCCATCGAGCCTCCACTAAGTGCATAAAGCTCTCCAGGGTGTGGGTCTGCGCCCAATCACCTATGTTCTTGCCGAACCCCTTTGAAGCTACCAATCCATTAAGCCAGTGAGTTGCTGAACCCTCTAAGTAGGATGCAGAAGTAATCACTTCCTCCTCTACCAATGTCCTCTTTGCCCTCACCCATACTGGCACCGTTCTCAACCACGTGTTGAGAGCCTCGTCCTTCTTGTCTCCTGAGAAGGCTGGAGGTGGTTTCAGGGGTGTCTTGGGATACCAATGAAATTGTTGTCCCGCTGGCGAGACAAGTGGCGACTGTGGTGTAGCACCAGTCGCTGGACCGGACGATGAAGAAGCAACAGTCTGAGATAAGGCTGCTGCTGATGTACCACTTGGTGGTGGTCCAGACTGAGCGACATAGGGACCTGTCATCGCTGAGAATGGCAGCGACGACAAGACTGCTGGCCTGATTCCTGGTTTGTGCATGGCATTTAGGATCTGTTCCAAGGTGTTCTGGATTGTATTCAGTTTACTGTCCATGTATGCGTGCATGGACAGGATGCTCGCCTTTAGAATCTTTTCATTATTGATAAGGGTCGAGTCATCTAACCCCTTTAATGCAGCCTTGTCTACCTCCCTACCCTCTAGTCTAACACTCCTATCTCTAATCTCTTTCTCTATTTTAGTAGCCTGTCTAAGTTCCTCCTCTAGCCTTAAGCGAATCCTCTCTATTTGCTGGAGCTCCATCTGATCCCGGGTGCGTGGAGGTGGCGAGCTGGACTGCGAACCTACCATCTGAATAGTGCCAGTTCCTGACATACTGGAGATGGACTATGAACTGGTCGCATGACCAGTAGAGTTTGCAGCAGAAGTGGCCGAAGAGGTAGCCATTGCTACTGCACGAGCTGTTGCTGCTTCTAACGCGCGTTCAGCCACTGCTACTGCCTCTCTCGCAGTCTCTAGACTGCGGGCTCTTATCTCGGGCCTAAGCCTTCTCTCGTCTCCTGGTAGTAGAACCTGGAACACAACGGGTATCCTACGGGTGTCCCGTTGTGTCTGCCTCCTATCGTCAGATCTATCCTCCCCACTGTCTGATTCACTCTTAGGCTAGGCAGACGCTGTCTACACTAATGTCCTCTTTGAGACCTACCGCAGCATGCGTCTGACCAGTTGTAAGGTGTCCGGCGAGTTACCTAGACTACTAGTCAAGCGGCATCAACAACACCTACACAACTTGTATACATGTAGTCTACCTCTATCTTTGATTAGTTATGCACAAAAGCTTTAAGGAGAACTGACTATGGTAGATTACAGTCCTACTCTAGGCTGTCTGTTAGGTGTTAGCGGTCTGTCAACCAACCGATCAAGATAAAAATAAACTACACTGAGCAGATGTATGCACAATGGATATAGTGATGAACAGTTGAGTTCACAATTGGAATCCCCTTCCCCTGTATCCAACGTACCTGACCTGTGAGCATCATCAAGCTGCGGTGTCTAAGGTGTGCAACCACGACCCACCCCTGTGCCCAAGAAGTATGCTTATGACCAGCCTGCCCTTTATTTACCCTTACGTGCAACGAGCCTTACGTCTGACTGATCTGGCTGATCAAGAGGCAATTTTTGGATAGCCCCCAAGAGTCCTCAAGAATTCTTTAACGTCGCAATCAGGACGACGATCACAGCCAGTGGACAGTTCAGACCCCAACCAGAAATGTTTATAGACTGTCTGGTAGCGTCTACGTAGAGCTGGTCAGCGCAACAAAGAGCCTCAATGGACAAAGCAGCATGGCCTGCATGTACTAATACCCATGGGTTGGCATGGTGGCCGTGACCCGTGCTTCGACGAGGGCCCTTCAGAGGCACCGCCCTCTCCTGCCGGATGCACCACCGGGAAGAATGTCGTCTCTCAAGATAGAGCGCACACGACTCCTCACCAAAGAGAGGACACTCAAGTTGGACTCACTTCCTCACGGTAAGAAGAGATTAAGAGGGTAGATAAGGAATGGGAACAACGCACCTGGAGACAGCTGCCCCCAACCACAGGTTTCTCACCAATTGGGCCGACGTGCATTTCGATGACTGGTCATTAGCCTCAGTACCACCCACAACGCAATGAAGTGCCACCTCAGCCAAAATGCCATGTCAGCATACTCTCATCATCATGCATACACCCTTTGTCGCCACAGCTCCCACGATGTTGCCACAACCTTCCAGCGGCCGGCCTCTCCACCTAGGCCCCGCTAATCCAGCGCCAAAGTATCCTTACTGCACATGAAGCATCGTCAGCGCACCAAGTCTCAATGTCGCCGGTGCCAGGTAAGCGGCGATCATAAACCAGCTCCGATACCAAATTGCAAGGCATATTAGTGTGAGTGATATACATAAAACCAAGTTGTGAAATCACACAGCTGTCCCAGTAGTCGTGTCCCAAGCAGAGAGTACAAATGCACCAAGAAAACCATCCATATAGAGCAATACAATGAAGTAATGAGCCAATGTTCATGGTCGTAGGCCACACCAACACAGTATCCAAAGTCGCTCTGTTTTGTCTGGCGCTCAGCACCCAGCCTACTCTACCAGACTATCCTTCCTACAGCTGGTTCACGCAATAGGATCACTTCGACTCATGAAGACCAATGTACATGACTGCCAACACCATCGCCGACCTCTCTTCATATACCAGGTACGTATCTCGTCACCCTTAATCAGACCTTGATTACCCCACGTAGCGCCTTCTTCCCTGAAGACCACATAATCATCCGCTGTACCCCCTGGCACCCAACAGCCCGGCTATGGCTTCCTGCGCCCCGCTGCCCTGCCGCGCTCCACTACACCTCTCGCGCCCCGTCAGCGCCCTTGGCAGCAGTGCAGCATCAAGCGAGAGCGCAACAACACTTCCACATTGCCAGCGCTGGCCAGAATGTCTGGCATGGGCTGCCTCATTCCTTTTGTGGAAGTGACAGCCTCCTGGATGCTGCGTGTGGCCTGGCTGGAAGCTTCCAGTAGCTTCCGGTTGGATCCCAAACCCTACGCCCAGGCCCGAGACTACATTTGAGGGCCTGGGCCCTTT